CCAACCCGCCAAGTATGGAGACCGAAGCAGCCTCCAACAAAAGTTCAACCACCGGCGAATCAACCCAAGTCGCCGGTAATTCCAATAGCTTCTCCGGGAGATCATGCAGAATCGTCCCGAAGGAAGAAATCAGTTTTGGAGCGCCTCGGTCCAATTCCCGACGAGAGAGGCAAAGCTCCAGTTCAAGAGAGTTTGGGCCCAATGAAGAAGCCCAGAACGACTCAACACGCTGGGGGTCGCCGTCACCTCCAACGTGATAAAGAAATCAGGGCAACTATGCGCACCAATTTGCGCATTGAAGTCCAAGAGCCCGTTGAGAATTCACGCCCAAAAAGGCATGTTTCGAGGCGCGTAACTTTTGAAAGCCCGAAGAAGGTAGTTCGCTCTCAGAAGGAAACGTTATCGTCTGATGATGATTACGTTATACCTGAGAAATCGTGCCAACACACGATAGGTTGCTCCGACTTTCAAACGGACGAGCTGTACTATCGTGCTGAGGGTACGAGCAAAGCTAGAAAGAGAAGTCCTCGCAGGCTAGAAACTCAGTGCCCTTGTTCAAAGCTCATTCGGGCGGTACTGTCTGAGTGCAACTGCATTAAGGCAGTCACCGAGAGAGTTTCGGTGTTCGAAAGGCTTAGTACCAAAGCGCCAAAACCAAGGCATAGGCGTTTTCGGCAAAGAAGAACGGTGGTTGAAGATGGAGAATTTCCGAGGGTCACTACCAATATGACCAGCAAAAGGGCATCGACAAGGGATAATCCCGAGTCAATTCCGGAAGTACCCTGGTATCTAACTCGTCTGCAGTCTGGAGCCATTACACGAGGAACTTATGGTAGGGTTCGGACAAGATTACCGTCAGAAGATGAAGAATCGGATTCCTGCTCTGCTGTCGCATCAGACAATACGGTGTCCAGCGAAGGACAACCCCGCGAGTCATTCATGATAAGCGCGGAGCAAGTGGCTAAGATGCTTGAAGACGCCTTCGAGTCATTTATGATAAGCGCGGAAGAAATGGCCAAGATGCTTGAAGACGCTTTGGCTAAACAGAAAGAAAGTTTCAAGTTTGAGATGCAGATGGCCATGCAGACTATGAGAGAGATGCATGAGCAACAAATCCAGGCGTTCAGGAACCAACAAGGTGAACCAAGTCACCGTAACCAGGTTGTTCAGGAAGAGGAGCACACGGATAGGGATGGAGCTCACAATGCCAATAACCCTCCCGTCAATGCAAGGGGTGGTAATGAGGATGCCAACGAGGATACAAGTGAAGACTTGAAGATCAAAGATCTCGAGAGCAAAATCAACACATTGATCTCCGCTCAAGAGACGAAGAAAACAGGCATTCCCTGTCCATACCCAAGAGAGTGGGAATCGATCCCCTATCCGGCGAAGTTCAGTTTAATCAACTTCACGCCGTTCGATGGGAAGGGTTCCCCCACTCAGCATTTGATTTATTTCAAATCGCACTTGGGTATTATCTCCGGCAATGAGCCTCTGATGGTGCGGTCATTCGTCGGCACTCTTCGCGGAGCCGCCTTCGATTGGTATCGCCGCCTCAAGTCAGGTAGCGTGAACAGCTGGGACGATATGGAGACCATGTTCCTCACCAATTTCTTCGACGACGACACTGAGATATCTATCGGATCATTGCTCGATGAGAAGCAGAAAGACGGGGAGTTAGTCGACACCTTCGTCAAAAGGTTCCGGAACAAGACGATGAACTGTCGGGACCCGATCACCGAGGAATTTATTCTCCAGACTTGCCACAACAACCTCGTGTTGGACGTGTTGGAGGCAATGGGAACAACACCGTCTAACACTTGGAAAGACTTGAAGGTGCGCGGTGAACAAGCCGAACGCTTCCTCCGAAGGAAGAAGGCCGAGAGGAACCGACCGACGGTTAATCCGCTGAACTCAAACTTCGCCTCTCGTGGTAAGGGCAAGGCACTTGCAGCTGCTGATGGTGCTAACCAGACGTCGCAAAAGCAACTCCGAAAACAGCAAAAGGTTTCGGGTCCGAGACTCCAAAGAGAGTATTCTTTCAAGGACGAAGACGTTCCAGCCATCTTCAAATCCCTCTTTGGAAGCAACAAGATCAAGCTACTACCTATCACAAATCAGGAGGAAGCTGACAACACTACGGACCCAAAGTA